CACCCCATCCATAACCCAACCCACCATCCATCCACCATCAACAATCAATCAACCCATCCACCATCCATCCATCAAAATTTCCATCCATCCATCCATCCATCCTAAATAAATCTAAATCCATCCACCCATCCTTTCGTTTAAATCAATCCACCCACCCCACCCACCTTTCAATCAGTCTGACGTCTGTACAACTAACAATCCACCCATCTACCCTATTTAGTTATTAATCCATCAGTCCATTAATCAGTCCATCAATCAATCAGTCCATCATCCATCATTTGCAACCAATAATAAATCAATACATTCAATTCATCACCCATCAATCAATCAGTCTGATGTCCGTCACCAGCAACCAACCCATCCACCCATATCCATTTATTCATCCATCACCCGTTCATCCACACACCCGTCCGCTGTCGCTTTACTCAGAGTGACACTAGAATACGATGTTCTATAATGTACAGCGTATTTACAGGGTACGCACCATTGCAACAGCCCTTGGGAAATGACCTTCCCCGGTCCGGGGCTCGTACGGGGGCCTAAACAGACACCCACAAACCTTTAAACCACACTAAACCCCAAACGCACACAGAGCCCCACCGCCCAACTTTTTTGGAAATACAGGTAAACTGGGCCCAAGTTTTTTTCCCCGCCGTGTGGCCACCTTTTTGCCGGGCCCCCTTGGCTAAAACGGGCTTTACAATCCCCTTCGTCCCGTACGTGGACAGGCAATCTTTGGTGTACGAACCACCCCCCCGGCAGGATATGCTCTTTTTCTATCGCCACGCTGACCCAATAAAACTGTCACAGTCTCTGTCTTAGTGCAGGGCCCAGAGTGTCAAGGTTACCCAAACTCTCTCACAGCACATATAAAAAATTTACGGGAAACAAAAACCCCCCACCTAAAAACAAAACTGACATAAAATACCCCAGTCACTAACAAAAAATAATCCAAACTCTAATACTAAAACTGTCTTCCAAAAACGTCCCCCTTTTCCCTTTCCCGAGGCACACCGAATGTCCCTTTTCCTTCAAACCTCGTGTTTCTTGCCCCCCGTTCACCAGCTCAGCCCCAAAAAGCAGTCATGGTTTACTACAACACAGTTCGGGCTTTTTTCCCTGAAATCCTGACGCGGGTTTTCGCCGTGCGATCACAAAGGATTTGACCAGTCCGGCCCGGGACCTTTTTGGGGTAAACCCCCGGGGGGTGCACGTCAACACCCCCCCCTTACGGGGGGGGTACATTTTACGGGACTTGAAAAGGGTTTTTAAAAAACATTCCCCCTTTCCCTCTGAACTGATACTTCCTGAAAAAGTCAAGTTCAGAAAAGCAGGGGCCTCCCATCATGTACGTCATTTTTTAAAAATTTTATCGTAAAAATTTTATTTTTACCAAAAAAAAAAAAATAAAAGTCTTATTTTTGGGTTTCAATCCCTAAGGAAAAAACAAAATGGCACATTTTTAAAGGGTATATACATTAAAGGGGCCCAAGCTCCTCCCTAATGGGTAAAAATGGTATCACCCCTTACACAAATACGTTACTACTCATTAAAACCTTTTCAAATCATAGGGAAATGATATAAATAATAATTTGGGGGGACACTCAAATCGTCGGGCCCTTTAATTTTACACCATTTCCCTTTACTGGCAAGAAAGGGGACGCCCGTATACACTCCAAGCCTTTTAACCAACGACACCGTGATTTATAACAGGGGGCGCATGGACTATCTCCACAAGGTTTGCCCAAATGGTTTTTGAAAAGCAGGCCCTGCCCTACCCCCCCGACCTAAAAGTCGATAAGGGTCCGCGAATCCGCATACCTCCCAAAAGACCCCAAATCACCCCATATGACCCACAGGCAAAATAGGCGAAAACAAATTTTGGGGCCCAAATTGGACACCCCTTACCTCCAAGGATAGTGCTACTCCCAAATGTAGTCTCCATATATGCGACACTATTTACCCCATCTTTTAAATCCTCCAGGGTGAGGGGCCCTTGAAAAAGTAAAACCCTAACTTTCTTTTAAAATTGTAAAATTCATCATTTTTAAAAAAAAAAAAAAAAAAACCCAAATTTTAAAAAAAAAAAAAAAAATTTTTTAAAAATTTCATTGTTACCACAAACTAAATTGTCATTTTTTTTAAAAGGGTTACTATTTAAAAAAACTATCTATTCATAATCCCATATTGTCTAAATATACTTTACTTTTTAACTTTTCCCTCCGATTAAACACTCAGTTAAATTAAACTCATTGAAATTTTTTTAAAAAAGTAATGGATTTCAGAAAGTTCAAAAACTGAAGAATATTTTTAATTTGAAAATTTGGGAAAATACTAAAACAAAAAAAATTTGGGAAAATCAAACAGTTAACATTCCCTTATGTAATCTAAAAAAAAAAAAAATTTTTAGCAAAGAAAAAAAAAGAAAGTTTTTTTGTAAAACCCAAAAAGGATTGTCAAACAAAAAATTTTAAAACACTGAAAATAAATAAGCAAAATACATCATAAAAATTTAAAAACCAAAAAAATCATTAAAAAACATATTCATTCCAACAAAACAAAAATTTTTAAAAATCAAAATAAATAAGAAAATTTTACATGAAAAAATTTTCAAATAAAAATTTTATTTCCCTTTTATAAATACCACCTAAAATAGTTAAAATCAAAAAATAAGAAAAAAAATTTCCGAAAAATTAACTCATAATAGTACCAACACAAAAAATTTAAAAATCAAAAAAATAAGAAAAAAAATTTAGATACTTTAAATCATCTTGATATAAACACAATAATTAAAAACAAAATAAATAAGAAAAAAAAATTTAGATAAATTACTCATCAAGTTTATAAACACAAAATTTTACAAATAAAATAAATAAGAAAAATACGCAAAAAAAATTGTGCAAACGAAATTAAATGAATCTTATAAATTTCCCCAAAACCCACATAATATACATAAAACAAACACAAAAAAACTTTAAAGCACATACAGAACAAAATAAAATCCATCCCAACAATATTATTAAAGATAACATAAAAAAGATTAACTTAAAATATGAAAATCAAAACATAGACTTCTATTCTATACATTCTTTTCCCTTTTTTTCCCCTTTACTCTTCTTCATACATCCCTTTTTTCCATTTGCTAAAGGGTCCTTAGAATGATATCACCTCTATCTTCCTTTTGGGTAATTTTTTAAACGATTTTTCCTTTCAGGGTTTTTTAGGCTGAACAGCACTTGTATACACTTTTAAACCTTGTCTTTTACTTTTTCAATTGGATCTATAAAAATTTGGTGTCGACTTCCTTTATGAGCCCAAAAAATTCTAGTCATTGGGAAGGCATAAAATATATGAAGAAAAGGTCTTTTCACATAAAACTGTAAATTTCGAATTTTACCGGGACTTTTCAGTTTCAGGATACAACTAGGCAATCAATAGTTTTACAGGGGCCCCTTAAAAAGGTCAGCCAGGTTTTTGCTGTTCCCCTTGAGTGTTTAGTTGTGATTTTGGAAAATTTTGGGCAGTGGTAGTGCCCATCGGGTTTTTTACGTTTGTTTTTTGGGGCCCCAGCCCTTAATGACGAGCATGGCGGGTTGTCTGATTGGGGAAAAAAAGCCCTCCCCCAAGGGTAATAAATTGATTTCTTGTACACGGGAAAATCATCCCGAAACATAGTGTACCTGGGCGGGAGAAAAACCCCATTGCTCAAAACAGCATTTGGGGTTTGTAACACCCGGCCATCACACTGCATCAACGAA